TGGGGCAGGTAAGGTGGAGAGGTGGGGGCGGCCTGCGCCTGGGCTCGGACTGGTCCCGCCCCACAGTGTAGCAGGAAGCTCTCCACACACTCACCGGACCTGGGCTAGGACTGGGTCTGGGGTTTCCAGGAAGTGGGCAGAAATTCCTACTCGGCGGGAGGGGTAGGGATGTATGGCGGAGTGGTGAGAGGCGGCCGGAGGGGGCGGGAGGGGGTCCGGCCCATGCTGTGCCTGGGCTGGGACTGGTCCCGCTGGCGCAGGGTAGCAGGAAGCTCTACACACACTCACCGGACCTGGGCTATGACTGGGTCTGGGGGTTCCTGGAAGTCGGCAGAAATTCCTACTCTTGGCTGGAGGGGTGGGGACGTAAGGCGGAGTGGTGGGGGCTGGCCCAAGGGGGCGGCAGAGGGTCCAGCCCACGCTGCGCCTGGGCTGGGACTGGTCCAGCCGGCACAGGGTAGCAGGAAGCTCTCCACACACTCCAACAAATATATTTAAAACATTGAAATAATACAATATTTGAAAAGATGATAGAAAATTAATAATGATTGTTATATTGTATATTATTATCTTCGAAGTAGTTGTTCAAAATACCAGATATGTGCATGAAAAATTGGTCAAATAAGCAGTAACTGTTCCTTTCAGTAAATCAATAGAAAATAGTAGTACAGTTAGCTATCGTACATATTTTTCCCTTTGTTCTTTCTTTTTCTGCTTTCCTTGATCCAAGTTGTTGTTTTTTTTCCTTTAGAGTAGTCTTCTTCTTTCCCTTTCATAATATCTAGAGTACCTTTTGGATTTTATTTTATTCTTTCAATTTCTTACACTAGGAAATGAATACAATGTCTGCACATATGAGTCTGATGTATTTTCCTTGTGAGTATGGTCTTTAGTTGCGTCCATTTATTTGTAAAAGCCTGGAGAATCTTTCTCTTGATAGCTGAGTAATCCCTAATGTATAAAAATACCACATCATTTTTGTTCATTCCTTGGTTGATGGGCTTTTGGGTTGTTTCCAAGATTTAGCTGTGACAAATTGTGCTGCTGTAAACATGAGTACACATATATCACTGTGGTATGATTTCAATTCTTTAGGGAAAATACCCTGCAGGTTAAATTTTAACCTTTAATCATTTTTATATATATATAATAAAAATAGTACTCTACTACTACTACTACTACTACTACTAATAATAATAATAATAATAAACACGGGCCTCCCAGATAGCTCACAGGATTAAAGCATTTGCTTAGGCAGGCTCAGTGACCAGGGTTTGATCCCTGGCATGCCTTCCCAAGCCTGTCCCTGGGGGCACACTGAGATAGCGACTGAGCCTGGGCGTGGTGGCACGCACTTGTAATCTCAGTGCTTGGAAGGCTGAAAACAGGAGGATCACTACAGGTTGGATGTTTGTAGTGAGACTCTGTAGACCCACCCTGTACTAAATAGATAATAATAACAACATCAACAACATTATAAATGATGCAAAATTTCACTAAACCAAATGACAGGAATTCAACCCTGTTTGTTGCAGTACATATTGCTGTCTTCAAATTAGTTTCTCAGACACACCACTGTGATATATACTCACCCATGTTTTTAGCAGTGCAGTTTGTCACAGCTAAACTTTGGAAACAATCCCAATACCCATAAACTGAGGCATGGATAAAAAAAAGATGTAGTATTTTTATGCAGAGGCATTTAATCAGTTATAAAAAGGGTAAACTTGATACTTTCATAGATAGATAGATAGAACTAGAGACCACACTTACATGTAAAATAATCCTAGGTTTTGAGGAATTGCCACGTTAATTTCCACAGTGGCTGCGCCAGTCTACATTTCCACCAACAGCAGAGATTTTCTTTTTGCCCAGAGCGTCACCAACATTTGTTATTGGCTGATTTCTTGATGATAGCCATTCTTTTAACATCGTTGTTCATTCAAGAAGTGCACATTAAAACAACAGTGAGATCCTCTGCATTTCTGCTGGTCTATGGAAGGAAGCAGTTAATGCTTTCATTTGTTTTGTCTCTTTTTTTTTCAATTGTTTCTCTTCTTTGTCTTCTTAATTTTTTCTACATTTTTTTCTTTTTTCATTCTAATTTTATGTGCATATATCTGGTAATATGAATGACTGGTTGGAACACAATGCTATGTATTGCAACAAATGCTGTAAAATTCATGTTACTTTGTTAAGTGAAAATATATATTTCCACTGGTAACTGGGAAAATTGTAATCTTTTTGTTTGTAATTTTTTCTGTTTTAATTCTAATTTGTACTCTCTTAAGAAAATAAAAGTAAACAAATTGGTGTATGTTATTCAAATCTCTAAGCATGATCTTATTTTAGGAAGAGGAAAATGAATGTTTCCTGAAAGTTTGACTTTGTATAGCTTATATTGTGAGGAAAAAATATGAAATGCTGGTTTTTCTGCCTCTGGCTGTTGTTTAGAAATATCGATCTGTATTTTGTTTGTATTGCTCATTGTGAAAAAATCCACCACAATTATCTTTCTTTTTTCATTTTACTTGCAAACTTCATTGACAAAATCCATTCACCTTGTTGCACAGCCAGCAGTGCCCTCCATTCCCACATTTTTCCCTTTCCCAAACTGAATGGTTTCACCCATTTTAAGATCTTACCATCTTTCCTTCTTCTAGATCTGGATGTCTCCACTCTACCATGAGTCATAATGAAGAACTGAAACTATCATACTGCAAAGGTAATGAGACCAAGAGGCATAATATATGTTTAGATTTTTTTGGAATTTTATCTTGTTTTATTTTGAAAAGTAAAAATAAAAGCAAGAACAAAAAAAAAACAAACAAAGAAACAGGGTAACATACAATATATATGTTACAGATTTTCATAATAACAATAGCTAATTAACAAAATGTCTCCTATCTAGAATATAGAAAGAGCTACAAAAAAATTAGGGCCCCAAAATTTAAAGACACAATCCACAAATTGGCATCTGAAATGACTAGACACTTCTCAGAGGAAGAACTGCAAGAGGCAAATAAATACATGAAAATATAATCCACATCACTGGCCATGCAAGAAAGGCAAATTAAAACAACATTGAGATACTATCTCACCCCAGAAAGAATAGATATCGTAAAGAAATCAACTAATAACAAATACTGGAGAGGCTGCCGGGAAAAAGGAACTCTTCTCTACTGTTGGAAGGAATGTAAATTTTATTTTCACTTTTACTACATTTTCTAACCTAAATTGCAAAATTTTTTCCTGAAACCAGTGTCTAGTTGTAGAGTTTATCTGGGGTACATTTAGTATTTCTGTTATTCAGGCTGGAGATGGAGAGATTCACCCTAGGGAAGGCCACAGTGTACCTCATGAAGACCAATTCACTATTTCTTGGACAATGTGGTACAATTAAGGCAATACAAATCTTACACCATAAGATAAGCAAACAACTGATAGGCGAGACATAGAAAGAGGGTTTATAATTCTTACTTAATGTCAAGATTTTCAGAATGGAAGGAACAGTGTAAGAAACAATTACATGATAAGGGGGAAATATCCTCAAGAAAGGAAGAAATCTACAAATGGTGATAAAGACGTGATTCTATTCTCAATAAACTTATCAGAACAGGAAAGATTAAGAAGTTGAGAAGGATAACAGAAAATCAAAAAGTAGTTGTCACATCTTTAAATTACTTAAATTTAAAGACAGTAATAGTGTGTAAAGGAGAACCCAAGAGGTTAACTTAAAAATCTGTCACAAACACCGCTAAGAAGACACTGAAAAGTATGATGTGTCATTGTTCATCTGAGGAGTTGAGATAGAAATAACAACACAGAAGCATTCTATGAAGAGAGAACAGAACATGTAATTTATCCTGTCAACAGTGACCTTTATGAGGGGAAAATATTTTATTTCTGATAACAAGAAGGTAGCAGATTAGAATCAATGTTTCTGTTGCCAAGGACTCACATGATGGCATTCACATTGCAGGTTCTAAACAAACCCTAAGTTTGATTCACAGTGCATAATAAGGCCAGAATATTTACTATTACACCAAAGCTAGATCTTAAACCTTATCTCAGCCTGAGTTGACTCAATCTTGAGTATGAAAACTAAATGAAATGCACTCTTAACTACACTAAGTGAATAACACACATTTAAAAAGGAATACAAATTCTGTGTGATTATGCAGCTTGATAAAATAAAGTAAATTCTGCTGCTCAGTGCAATCCAATGGAAAACCATTGAATTACTCACAAGATTTGACACTGTGCCACTTCTGTTTATTTCCTGGAGTGAAAATGACCAGAAGAGATGCACATCTTGACTTTTTATGCATTTAGGATAAGGTTTACATGGTCTCACTACATAAATCAGATTCACAGTGATTCTCCTGTTTTCTGCCTTCCCAGTGCTGGGATTACAGACGCATGCCACCAAGCCCAGTCTCGGTCGCCAACACATCAAGGCAGTCAGGACAGTGCCACTAAAAACCATAAAAGTTTACTTCTAGAACTGCATCAGAAGAAGGTAAGAAGGATGGAATAAATGTGCTTCAAGCATGAGGGAGTGTTTGACTACGATTAGGGCAATGTCATTTACTGTAGTAAATTTTAGTTGAAGCATTCACAATATTATTAATCACTATGTATACATAAGGAAATTTCTAGTTACTTTGGGCAGAAAAGAGAGAAGAAACATATCTTAGGAAAGAAATTAGAATAGTGAAAGTGTGAGCACTTAATTTAGGGAAGAAATGTTTACTTAGTTCTGAGGTCAGTCATCCATGAGGGAAAATGTGCTTTGCTTAGAAGCCTGCCCAGGGCGCCCTTCACATCCTTGTTCCTCAGGCTATAGATGTAGGGGTTCAGCATGGGGGTCACCACAGTGTACATAACAGAGGCAACAGAACTTTCTTGGGAAGAATGGGTCCCTGTAGAACTGAGGTAAACTCCAAGTGCTGTTCCATAGAACAAGGAGACCACACAGAGGTGAGATCCACAGGTGGAAAATGCTTTATACTTGCCTCCTGTACTGGATATTTTCATTAAGGAGGTGACTATTCGAGTGTAAGAGAAAAAGATCCCACTGACAGGAAACACACCCAGGAAGGTAGTTGACAAATACAAAAAGATGTTATTGATGTGGGTATCTGAGCTGGCCACCTTGAGAAGCTGAGCCAGTTCACAGAAGAAATGTGGGATTTCTGTGACCTTGTGGAAGCTCAGTCTCTTCACAAGTAGAATGTGAGTTAGGGAGATCCAGAAATTCAGGAAGCAAGACATGAGAATCAGGAAGCCACAAAGCCAATGGTTCATGATAACTGTGTATTTCAGGGGATGGCAGATGGCTATATAGCGGTCGTAGGCCATCACTGCAAGGAGGAAAGTATTCATCTGAGCACAAAGTGTAAAAAAATATACCTGAGTGAGGCACTGTCTGTAGGAGATGTCCTTGTATTGTATCTGTATGTTTACCAGCATCTTTGGGACTGTGGTAGAGATAAAACAGATGTCCACGAAGGACAGGTCAGAGAGGAAAAAGTACATGGGGGTGTGGAGGTGGGAGTCAGAGACAACAGCTAGGATGATGAGCAGGTTCCCGAGCACTGCAACCAGGTACATGGACAGGAACAGACCAAAGATGATGGGCTGCTGGTCTGGATCTGCTGAGAGGCCAAGAAGGAGGAACTGTGATGCACTCGTATAGTTTTCTCTTTCCATGTCACTGGATTTCCTACTTAAGAAAAAACACAAGCTATGTTGGCAACACAAACAGCTGTCACCTCAGTAAATACCACGCCAAAAATCATACTTGGATGCTTGTCCCCTGCCTTTCAGGAGAGACTCACAGTACAGTGATTCACTTAGGCAAGTTGTAGATCATTTCCATTTCAAGTATTTATAATTATTCAAACTTTCTTTAGTTTAGCAGAAGTCTATTTTTACATCTTCTAAGTTATTTTCATTTCTTCTTTGAATTTATGCACCTAAGTGAATTTCCTCTTTCTTAGCACCCTTCGTAAATATTTGAAGTTATTTGTTTATTTTTCTGGATTATCTCCATATTTCACATCTAATACAACTATTTGTGTGATAAAATATGGATTTATAATTAAAATAAACTGTTTTCTGCAAACTATTTGTGTGATAAAATATGGATTTATAATTCAAATAAACTGTTTTCTGCAAA